CTCTCCTCCTCGTAATGCGGGTTGGGGACCTGAGTGGAGGGGAAGGGCGCGGAGGGAAGGGGGTGCGGGGAAGGGGGGAGAAGGGTTATAAGAGATTGAACGTGTTTCGCCACAAGCACGAGGACAGTGACAGGCACAGTGGGCGAACGGCCCAGATGGCGAAGATTGAGGGGGCCGGATGGCGGGGGGCCCCGAGGTGGGGGGGGACTACGATGGGGGGCACTATGCGACGGTACTACCCGGCGGGGCGGCGAGGACCCCACAATCGCCAAACCCCCGTGCTTATACGCCATGCAGCTACACCATACATACATACATACATACATACATACATACATACATACATACATACATACATACATACGCAGGCAGATACAAACAATGACACCACCCTTATATGGGCGGGGGACTTCAACTTTGTCGAAAACCCAGCGCTGGACTCCACAGCGGGGGAGGATGGGCGGAGGGGAGATGGCCCCATAGCAGAAATGCTCCGCACAGCTGGGCCAGCCATGATGGATAGTCACCGTCAGCTTCATCCCCTGCGCCATGACTACACCCACCTCTACCGAGCGCCCCGCCCAGGAGGCTCCCGACTGGATCGCATTTATGTGAATCAAGCCGTGATGCCGTATGTTGCTCGCACGGAGATTATCCAGCACACCCCCTCAGATCACCAGCCGATGGTCCTACACCTGCTGCCTCGCCGGGTTGAACAGAGGGGCCCGGGCATTCGCCGGGTGCGCATGGCCTTTACAGCGCATGAAGACCTGGCCACGAGCCTGGAGGCCTGGATTACCGACCAGTGTGCCGCGGCCCCATCTGTGGAGGACAATCCTGCTGGCCTGATCGAGTGGTGGCCTGCCTTCAAACGCCGCCTCGCTACTCGTGCACATCAGCTCAACAAAACAGCGCAACATCGCAGGCTGCGCCCAGGAGCCCGTGTACAAGCAGCTACCAGCAGTCCAGCAGGCCCGACAAAGGATCGACACAGAACCCGGAGCACAGCAGCCCTTACAGCAACTGGTGGACGCACAGGCGGCACTAGCACGGGCCCACCGAGAGGACTGCAGCAAGGAGGCGATGGAGGCCCGCATACACTGGCTACGGGCAGGGAGCGGCC